TATTCAGGTCACTAATGGTAAAAACAAATGCCCTGTATGTGATTGAAAGAAATGGTGCTGTATTGGGTTAGCCTCATAAAATGATGGTATAAACAGCAGCATACCCACACTATGATTATCATGTGTGTACTAGAGACAGCACCCTCAGTTAGTTATATATGAAGCCTTAGCTTACAGCTATTTTCGAAATGAAACTATTTTGGCGCAGATGCCCAACAGGCCTTATTTATGGATTTTTTTATGGAAGAGCAATACTCTCACAAGTTTGGGTTTTTATGAAAAGATACAATTTGGATTAGATATACAGTAGAGAACTACCTCTATGTTTTTTTTTTTGCTTATCCCTAGTACACATGGTACAGGCCATGATAATCATGGTGGGTAGAAATAGGTGACTGCTTTTACTGTAAGTGCACCACATGTTTACACATGTAAAAATCATTTTAACTTTGCACTTACAAATGTGCCAGAGCCCTATTTGGTTACTTGTCATTGCTGGTGGAGACTACCTCTATGTAAAAGAACACCTGGTTGCTGTTCCAAAATATCCTTTAAGGAGAGTTGTCCTCTTACTGGAAAGTTGCCAATTGTTATAAAAGGTATTTTGGTGATGAAAACTGTCCTTTGTTGAGAGATGTGTCCTCTCATGAAAATTTTCCTTTGTAGAGAGGTGTGTCATCTCACGGCGGTCCTCGTGGCCGCCATTGTGGCTGGCCTCCTTGTCTTCGCCGCTCCAGGCTCGGACGCCGAGCTTTCCTCTGGTAGTCCTCAATTCCCCCCGGTCCTGGTGCCACTTGAGACGTCCTGGGAGAACGCCTTTTGATCCCAAACTTTGTCCTTAGTGTCCCGAGCGGACATCCCACTCTGCACGTCTTGCCACTCAACCTATGACTGCTTCAATCCACTTGTCGGCTTACCCGGGTTTACGACATATATATATATTAAAAATAAATAAGGCATCTTCTGACCACGAGCACATGTGCTTTTTAGATGGCAGAGCGCCATCTAGTGGAGCAAAAATAAACTAAACGTTTATTTAGCTTGCTCCGTGATCTCTGCCATCTAAAAAGCACATGTGCTCGTGGTCAGGAGATGCCTTCTTTATTTTTAATATCAACACCTGACCCACTTATCTTTTATTTCTTTTCTATTGTTTTTTCATGTGTTAAGCGTCTTTACGCAAATTTGGCCTTAAATACCCATTTCTTGATTTTTCGGGAAGCCATTGGGACCAAAACATCTTTTTGGTCTCAGTGGTTACAGCCTTCTCCACGCTGATGAGTGCCAACAGCGCGAAACGCGTTTGTGGATGGCTTTTCTTGATTTATCAAGAAATTGGGTTGGCCAAATATCACGGAGCAAGCTAAATAAACGTTTGTTTATTTTTGCTGGCGCTCTGCCATCTAAAAAGCACATGTGCTCGTGGTCAGGAGATGCCTTCTTTATTTTTAATATCAACACCTGACCCACTTATCTTTTATTTTTTTCTATTGTTTTTTTCATACAATTTATTAATTTGGATTCGGTCATTTTACCTTGTGTATAAGTGTATGGCTACTGTTTCCAAAGCTTATGTCCTTATGGACAAGAATCCCTCAACTTTACTGGTGTAAAAGCAAAACCACCCAATATATATATATATATACTAGTTATTACTGACCGGAAAGGCATCTGGGCGATGCATACCTGGACACCCACCAACAGGCTTCGTGGACCATTTAAAGGAACTCACTGGTTTGACGGTCGCCAAGATGGTACATCGAGCTCAAGACAGAGATGGCTGGCGTTGCATTGTGTTTGGGATGTAATACATACAGTGGGCCACAACATTCAATTGCGAATAAAATTATTTATAATAAAATAATACAGTAGAACTACCTCCCTGTAAAGGACACCTAGTTTCAGAGTCAAAGTGTCCTTTATGGAGAGGTGTCCTTTTACCGGAGAGTTGCTAAATAGTAAAAATGGTAATTTTGCCAATGAAAACTGTCCTTTGTGGAGAGGTGTCCTCTAGTGGGAGGTTCTACTGTACTATATATTAGAGCAGTATGGTAGATTGAACTGGTGTGTGTGAAATTACTGGAAGGGTTCACCGTTGATGAGCCAACCCTCCATTATTTCTTAACAATGCAGTAAGGGCAGCAGAAATTTGATTAAAAAATCAAAAAAGACATTGGCGCTAAAATATTTAATGGAGGAGTGCTATCAATTTTTGACATCAAGGATTAAATTCCGCATTGGGCACTTTTTTCTGAATAAAAAGTTGCTTCAATGGCTACCGATTCTTAACAAAATTTCAGCTCCACCAGTGATATAATTAACCAGACAGGGCTCTGGCACATTCGTATGTGCAAAAAGTTAAACTGCTTTTCTACATAAGGTAGACATGTGGTGCACTTCCAGTAAAAAATAAATGCCAACTACCTACCATGGTTATCATGGCTTTGTGTACTTGGGATAAGTAAAAAACCATTTATAACACCAGTCACTTCAGTAAACCCCAACTTTTCTTTTTTTGCTTATCCCTAGTAAGTGTGCCATGATAATCATGGTGGGTAGAAGTAGGCGACTGCTTTTACTGTAAATGCACCACAGGTCTAGACATGTGAAAAGCAGTTTGACTTTTTCACTTATAAATGTGCTAGAGCCTTGTTTGGTGACTTGCACTCGTTGGTGGGGTTGAACTTTTGCAAGAATCGAGGGCCATTCGAGCATTTTTTTTTTATCAGAAAAAAGTTCCCAATAAGGGAATCGAACCTTGGTAGTAGCAGTTGAAAACCAACAGTTTAGACTATCCTTCCACTGACCCCACCCCAACTTTGGTTGTTTGTACAGAATCCCTGCTTAAGGGCTTCTTCACTTTCTACAAGGAGCTGAACTTTATAGAAGTGGTGATCTCTCCCTTCACAGGGAAGACAATCCCTCGCATGGAGCTGTACTTCCTGCCTCGCAGCAAGTTTGATGTAAGCTCTGCCTCCACCTAGTTACTTCCATGGTGTTGGTCCCACATGTGGTGGGTGACAGAACACCCTAGTCCAGATCCAGGACCCCTTCGAACACTACTGGAACCTGGGGGAGCGGACCAAGCCAAAGTTCTACCTCACCTTCAAGACCCTTCTCCATACAGCTGCCCAGGCTCTGACTACGGGCAAGGGGCTGGCAGAAATCTTACTGCCCTACGACGGTCCCTTACTGAAGGTCCCCTTAGGACATAAAGAGTTTAGGTATGACCTGGGCCGCTACACCCTCTGCCAGGCTGAGAAAGTGGAGGGTAGGAGAGAGCAGTTCCTTGATGCGGCCTGCAGGATATTCCACCGCTTCCTGAAAGAGGTGCTCCGCGCTGAGGTGATGTTTATAGAGAACAATCTGGATTGGCCGGACTCCATCTTGCAGCCCGACGACGATGACTCTGATAACGAGGAGGATTTTAACACAAAAGGCTTCAACAACGAACCGCCGAAGAAAAAACACCAAACTGGTTCTATTGAAGATCCTTCAAGTCGCCGCCGCTGGCCTAAGATCCATAAGAAGCTGCCCCTGTTTGGTCTCCAGACCCTCCGAGTGAAGGTGCTACACCGCCTATGGAACAACAGGCCCCACAGCATCCAACTGGAAGATGACCTGCTGGAGAGAGACACAGAGATTTCCAGGAAGATGTTGGAAGATCCAGAGCTGAAACCGACAACGTTGCTGTTCCGCATGAAGCTAGCTAGTCTGGAGGAGACGGCCGCTCCAGTTCTCCAACTCTCCGCCTTCAGCAAGGTCTTCTGTGACAAGGATTTTGAGACCTTTGTGAAGGGAAGGCTAACCAAACACTTTTCAAGGGTCAATCCTTGATTTATCTATTTATTTATTTATGTTTTTGTTTATTCAATACCGTGCCACTCACTGCCCTTCCTTCGGGATTAAATAGAGTATCTAGTTATCTCTAAACAAAGTCTTTCATGTAAATTCTCATATTTGTATTTATGTTTTTTTTGTTGTTGTTTATATGTCTCTCTCTCACTATCTTTGTTTTTGTTTGAGATTTATGAGAGTGCTACCTCTTTTTAATTGGTGGATTATTTTATGGGATTGCCAGAAAATTATCGTCTTATTAAAGTTAATAGTCAAATTTAAAAGTAAGAAAAAATCTCCTAAATGAATTTTATAAAAAATATTGCTGTATATTTTAAAGTGAGATGAAAATAAAGAAAAAATATTATTATTTTTTTTGTGTATCTAGTTTTTGTCTTTCTAAAAAAAAGGTCTTAGAAGCACCTCTCTCTTTAAAATACATTGGAACAAGAATTACAAGGTAGTAAACCAAATAAATAGATATATAGTGTGTGATGTTTCAGTAACAATGCTGTTACCAAAATGTCATGCACTATTTATTTAGATTTGGTCTTATTACCTTTTGTTTTTCTAATCTATAATCCAAATTGTGCCTTATCATAGAACAATAATTATCTTTGTGTGTATTACCTTGGTACAGAATGTACTGTTGGTGATAGAAAATGTGCAATAACACCAATTTTAAAGGGAGAGGTGCCTCTTTTGGTATATGATTGCTGTTCTTCTCCCAACTTTATGCTATATACCAAAGGTGGCACCTCTCCCTTTGAAAATGCATTGTTTATCACCCCAGTACAAAATGTAATGGCAGTGATAAAGAATGAGCCACAACACCAGTTTTAGAAAATTCAGACAAAAAGCCAACAACCTGTATACCATGGTTTCAGGCTATGACCTTCATCAGTACAAGGACGGCTTCGATTTCATAACATCCTAAAAGAGGAGAAACACAATAGTGTTTCTTGCACATTATTTATTTATTTAGATTTGGTCTTCTTACCTTGTTTTTATAATCCAACTTGTGCCTTATCATGCTAGGAGAGGAGTTATGAAATCGGTCGAATTTGTCAAAAAGCCACAAGAAAATAAGATCTATTCCAAATAAATAAATAGTGTGTGATGTTTTGGTAACAACGCTGTTACTGAAACATCACATACTATCTATTTATTTGGCTTAGGCTGGTTAAACCGTTTGGTTTACGACCACTACGACCCGGGTTCGATCCCCGCATTGGACACTTTTTTCTGTTTAAAGAAAAAAAAAAATTCTCCAATGGCCCCCCGATTCTTGCAAAAGTCCAACCCCACCAGCGAGTGCAAGTAACCAAACGGGGCTCTGGCACATTTGTAAGTGCAAAGTCGAACTGCTTTCACATGTGTAGACATGTGGTGCGCTTACAGTAAAAAAAAAGCAGTCGCTAACTACCCACCATGATTATCATGGCCTGTACCACGTGTACTAGGGATAAGCAAAAAAAAAAAAAAAAGGTCTTATTTTCTTGTAGCTATAATCTATAATCCAAATTGTGCTTCATCATTATCAAAGATATGTTTAAGCTGTTTTTTTTTTTACTTAACCTCACAACTCCATATAGGTTATATGCCAGTTACGTTAAAGTGCTGGTTTTATCCAGCATTTCCCCGAGGTCACCTACAGAGAGGTGTAACTTGGACTTTGACCTGGTATTAAATGGCCGCCTCTAACATGAGGAACAGACGCCTTGTGCAGCCGCTCCTAACATGGAGCTATCAGTCCAATTGGAACCCAGGTTTTTTAACAAGCTTGTTACTGCTCCCCCTCCTCCTTTTACATCCAGGCTTGGGACCGGCAATGGCGGGGTTTAAGCTGGTGAAATTTTAGAGCCATTTTGGCATAACTTAAAGGATAATCATGTCAAATAGTTAATGACTGCCAATTTGACATAGATTTGGCCTAGCCACATTGCTAGCTAAACACTTCTTTACATAAAAAAATAAAATCATCAAACACCAATGTTTCTTTTCAAATATTATTTATACTGTCCTTATTTCAATGAAAAATATTGAAGGCCTTGGCTTAGTGGGAACTGAAGAAGATGCTGCGTTCTGTGGCGCCAGATGAGTCAGGTCAAAAGGAAGCAAAATGTGAAAATAATTGATAAATGTATTCAATTTTATATACCTTTCTAAGATTTTATATCATCGTATATTTTCAATAGCCGTTGCTTGCGCCACCTGTGAATATTAATTCTCTCTGGTTGACAATAAAAATGAAGTCTACTAGCAGAATGTCAACCACTCAATATGTTTTGTTACATATGTGGTGAGGACATAATGCAAGATTTCAGGAAACCCATTTCCGACTTCGTAAAAAAGACCTACTTCACTTACTTTGGAGTTAAACTAGGAGACCAAGATAAAACGTGGGCTCCACATTGTGTTTGTAAAACTTGTTTTGAATATTTGTCCCATTGAACGAATGGTAAAGGAAAATGCTCAAGTTCGCAGAGTGACAAGGATTTGGAGAGAACCAAGAGAACACACTAACCCTTGCTATTTCTGTAATGTCAAAATTGTTGGTATCAACGGAAACAATCGCCACAAGTGAACTTATCCTAACCTACCTTCTGTAATACGTCCACTTCCTCACTCAGAAGACGTACCTATCCCAACTTGTCACGGCCTTCCACCGATCGTTGAAGATACAGTTATTACAAGTTATAATACAGAGGATGAAGACAGTGATTATGTTGGTTCTTCTTCGAGTCCTCAGCAATTTGACCAAAAGGAACTAAATGATCTCATTAGGGCCCTGAGCCTCTCTAAAGAATCTTCTAAGGTATTTGCTTCTTGGTTAGCTGAAAAATATCTACTCATCTCATGAACAAAAATAACATTATATTGTAAGCGTGAAAAGGATTTACTTCCGTTCTCTTATGAGAACAATCTTGTATATTGCCATGATGCTCAAGGTTTTCCTGTGTATTCACCAGGTGATTGACATATCTTCATTGATAGTTCCAAACAGAGTTTAAAGTGTGGGCTCCTTCACAATGGCAATAAGTATGGGTTGATTCTCCACTCGCTCATTCAACAAATATGAAAGAAGTGTATGAAACAATCGTGTTTGTCATAGAAAATATAAAGTTCAACAAGCATCAGTGGACAGTTTGTGTTGATCTCAAAATGATGAATTTTCTTCTCTTGGCCAGCAAGGTATCTACACGAAATACCCATGTTTTCTATTGTCTCTGGGATATCAGAGCTAAACATGATCACTGGATAAGAAGAACCTGGCCTGCGAGGGAGAACATGGATGTTGGTGAACATCATTCATACGCCTATCATTTCTCAAGGAAAAACCATTTTCCTCACTTACATATAAAATTAGGGTATATAAAAACAGCTTCTTAAGGACCATAAACATAACAGGTCCTGTTTTCAATATACAGAGCGTAAATATCCTTAGACTCAATGATGAAAACTGAAAAATGGCATTTTTGATGGCCCTCTGATACGACAATTCATAAATGATCCAATTTTGTCAACGCCATGAATAAACATGAATTCAGTGTGGCGCTCGTTCATCTTGGTAGTTCGACATTTTTTGGGTACCTACAGAGCTGATAACTATCAAGAGATAGTAACCAACATGCTTACAAACTTCTAAAATCTTGGTTAACAAAATGAGTATAAAATGTCATTACTTGCCTAGCCACTTGGACTTCTTTCCTGACAATTTAGAAGATATGAGTGAGGAGCAAAGTGAAATTATCACCAGGACACCAAAACTATGAAATATCGGTACCAGAGAAGATGGGACACCAACATGATGGCAGATTACTGGTCACATAGAGACTGGGAGGAAAAGTTTCACGGTCGGAAATCCTACAAGCGAGGCTTCCAAGACCCTGAATGACCAGACTTTCAACAATCCTTTGTGCATGTAAATACCTACTTATAAATAAAGCATTCCTAATATTTAAAATTATTTTTTCCCTACAACTCGTACAAATATATCTAGGCTTTTAAAATCACTATCATCATATCATCCTTTGCCCCACATTAAATCACAAAGTTCAAAATTCATAATGATCGTGCCTCGCCGCTTTTTTGTCATTGTTCAGTAGTTCTAGCTGAAATAGAACTATTATCTCCTTTGTGAATAAACAGTACAAATGTGATATTGTACTAGGATAAGGTTCAAAATTTAAGAAAAGAAAAAAGGCATATCCTTATCGGGCAACTAAAAGTTGCTGAGGGCTTACGCCATCTATCGGAATTAAATAACAACTATTCAAATCCTCAAAGCCCATGACAAAACTTGTAGAGTATTTAATCCCGAGGTACGGCCGTTTGGCAGGCGGTGGATGGATGTTGTTATTTGGTCACAGTGATGTCGGCGAGAAAGAGCTGATCCCATTCATCGAACTCCAAGGGGGTCACTACAGCAAGGAAGTCGGTGATGGCTTCTGCCGAGCTTGGAGCCTGGGCAAAGCACTAACAAAGCGTTCCTTCATAAAACCTCTCAGCTGGCCCCCAGAGATGGCGTTTCCATCATCGTCGGTGAAGGTGGAGGGAGAGCGACGTCTGGCTCGGAGGGAACACCCGAGGTCCGACAAGGAAGGATAGTTGGAGCGGGCAGTGTCGTCCTCCAGTCTCCGCCTCAGAAATTGGCCAAATATCCATTCTTGATTAATCAAGAAAAGCTAACCACGTACACATTTCGGGTTGTTGGCCCTTGTCAGCGTGGTGTAAGCTGTACCTCAACAACCAAAAAACTGGTCATTCAGGCATCCTGAAAAATCATGAAACGGGTAGTTTTCTTTTTTCTTACTCTTTCTATTACTTTTTTTTTCTTATTGTCTCCTTGTGTATTTTATTTTAAAAAATGATTTTTAAAATTATTACCGTAATAGATATAACTACCATTTTTGAACGCTCATTAATGTAAAGTAGAGTATGTATCTCTAAAACCAGACCTGATAGAACAAAACAGACAACATTTCTGGATTCAGCACATCAAAATTACAAAGAATTATGTCTTAACTCTTCGGAAACAATGTTGGCTAGTGTTATTTATATATATAAAAACAGTTCGATATACAAAAGGTCTCACTTTAATTTCATTTATGTAAAAAAAAAAAATTAAATATAGAAACCAAAAGATGATTCACTTAATCACCTTTATGGACCAAATATCAGCTCGATGGTGGCGCTCGAGTGGCTAAAGTTGGAACTAAAATTAACTTTAGAATATTTACGTCCCGCTTAAAGTGAAACAATTAAATAGAACCATACTTTTTATTATTTATGATCATAATTATTCAGCACCCCACGTAACCCTACTTTAAACGGGGCGTAAAAAAATTAACTAATTTTTAGTTCCAACTTGTGCCACTTGAGCGCCACCGTTGAGCTGATATTTAGTCTATAAAGCCGAGGCTTATAAATGAATTTATTTCCCATTTTAAAAAATTAATAATAATTTAAGTCATACTTACAGAGTGTAAAATTAATAGTTTTGCCACATTCATTCCCATCATAATATTGATTTATCTTTTGTTTCTTGAGGTGATAGAATGTGTTTATTTTTCAGTTAAAGTTAGGGTTAAAAGGCTTCCCCCCTTTTTGGATGGCGCACTTTTGTGAATGAAGCTGAGTACTGCAAAATGTCTAAAAACACATTCAATTTTGACCTATTTAAAAAAACGCACATTTTTAAGAGAGAGAGAGAGTTTTAAATTTCTTTATTACACCATTATAGCAGGATGACCTTGCTGCGTCTCGAAAATAGAACAATGTACTGTGGAACTGAGAAGCCTTGTAGACTTGCCAAAGAATTTCAGCGAAGAAATACTCAAACTCCATGACAAACTCGTAGAGTAATTTATCTATTACCGAGGTACGGCCGTTTGGCAGGCGGTGGATAGATTTTGTCAATTGGTTGCGGGAGATTTCGGCGAGAAAGAGCTGGTCCCATTCGTTGAACTCCAACAGAATCACTTCAGCGAGGAAGATGGTGATGGCTTCTGCCGAGCTTGGAGCCTGGGCAAAGCACTAACGAAGCGTTCCTTCATAAAACCTCTCAGTTGGCCCCCAGAGATGGCGTTGCTGTTGTCATCGGTGAAGGTGGAAGGAGAGCGACGTCTGGCTCGGAGGGAAGACCCGAAGTCCGACAAGGAAGGATAGTCGGAGCGGGCAGTGTCGTCCTCCAGCCTCCGCCTCAGGAAGAGGCTTGCCCTCTCGATGTATCCAC